GCGGATCGAACATCCGCAGACCTCGATCGACAGCGAACGTCGAAGAGCGGAGAAACGGAAACGAACTGGAAAACGCGTTACCCCGCAATGAACGAATTCGAGAAATATTTTTTCACCGATGTCGTAGCAAATGATTACAGTCTCGAGACCCGCGCTGGCTACGGGGACGAGAGAAAGATTGGAATTTCATTTGTTCTGAAAAGGGGAAAGTCATGCTGGGTCCCAGACAGCGATACGCGCTAAGCTTGATCTCTTCGGCGTCGGAGCTCCCTCCGATCGAACGCTCGTCCCTTTCGACAAACCTGTGTTCTCTCTTTCTCTCACGCACGCGCACGCAGACTTAAGCTAGTAGAAAATGAGCCTTCTCCTTCATCCTGAATTTCTCGACTTCGTCTCTCTCCTGTTCCTCCTCGACCCGGGTCGAATTGCGACAAAAAGGGCGAGCGTGCGGGACGCGTGGACACGATGGGAAAACTTGTGATATGTGTTCTCTTACGCATCTAGGAAAAACCAACACACTTCTTCTTCTCTGTCTTTCTGCAAATCCCTATCCCCTTACCAAGCACACGTCGCACAAGTATACTATTTTCTCTCTCTTGCTCTTTCGTTCTATCTATCACTCTCTTGCTCTCTCTCCCTCTTTCTCTCTCTCACTCCCTTTTCTTCCTTTTTTTGATATTATTTTCGATAGTCACACTTGCGGCTGCGTTCGCGATAACGGGAAACAGTGGCTTGTTTGCTTGTTGTCCCAGGTAGCGAACGGAGAACGGGTTCGCCGATAGATTTCCCTGTCAAACGGTTATCGCCGCGAACGCAGCTTGGGACCAGTGCCACGCTAATCAGAAGTACTTTGTTTACGTATATGCGGTTGCACGGACGAGTTTCTCTTGCCAGTAGGACCGCTGTTCACCTGTCAACGCTCTCCGAGATCCTCCAAGTGCGACACGCTATAGGTACCAACGATAACAAATAATCTCATGGAAATACATACTACGCCGCGGAATCGGGAAGAAGTTCATTTAGATTGAAATGAGGATCTGTAAACGAACGCGTCCGAAGGCAGAAGTTTTTGCTCGTCGCTCAAGGCGATCGTCGTTTCTGAGTAAAGTATGTTGTCGGTGAATTCGTGGATATGTCGGGACTGCGAACGCGTTTGCTCGGTAATTTGTGGGAATAATTAGTCAGCGAGATTTAAAACGGCCGAAAATGAAACGAATTTAAAGACGAATATTTTGTCCGGAATTTAAGGACGAATAGTTTATCCTGAATTGAAGGACGAGTATTTTATCCTAAACTTAAGGACGAGTATTTTATCCTGAATTTAAGGACGAGTATTTTATCTTGAATTTAATGACGAATATTTTATCCTGAACTTCTAGAAGACAATTTCGATAGATTTCTATTTTATAGAAATATCTGCAATTTTTAGCGACGACTCAGGGAGCTCGTTCTAGGAAGATGTTCTACTTGAAGTATCTGTTCGATGGTAATTTAAGCACCGGTACGAAAAACGAGCAGGCGTGTTCTCGGAAAGACAAAGTAAATTTTAAACCTGATGAAAGTGTCTGAGAAGATTTCTTCGACTTTACTGCTCTTCTTTTTCGAAATTCATTGCACAGTCGTTTGCTGTGTTTCGGTAACTTCTTCGGTGAACAGCGCAATTTTCGAGCCGCGTGTGCCACGTGGCTGTTTTGTTTCTGTGCTTCGATACAGGCGATATTACATCTTCACGCGCGCGACGATCAATTTTGAGACAGCCCGAGCGATTGTGAAACCGTCTGATTACTCGGAAGGGACCAGAAAACTTATTCGAGACTGTTTTTACGTTTTGGAGTCGCTAAGATTTTTTAAACCATTTTGTAAGCTTTCGAAGTGTAATTATCAGTTTAAGAACACTCCTAACGAAGATTTCTCCGTAATATCGAATAATTGCGAGCCTGCCAAATTTGTGAAGAATATCCTTCATAGATCTGTGTACTGCCGTCCTCAGTTGATATGTTTTATCTGCTAGTTTGCCAGTTTAGAGGACATTTGAAAATATTTGGAACATCGCGCGCCGTTTTCTTTTTAAGCAAAGCTAGAGTATTTGATATTCTTCATAGAGTACCAAATGTAATTTCTTTTGTATGTTTTCACTTATTTAACAATTGTTTTGTTAATTTAAAGCTTCATTTTTTGAATGACTAGAAATATATCCGTAAGGACAATCTAACTAAGGAGGGCAGTGTATGTATTGTAATTACTCGTAGGTGTAGAGTATTGAAAATTTTGACATCGTTGAAAAAACTGATACCTAATACCTAGGAAACTAATAATCCCGAATACGTCGATCCTCTTCGAGCAGCATAGCGGCAGAAATCGTTCGCAACGATGGCGAGTCCAGTTTCGCGTATCTTTTCGACGTTTTCGCTCGAACTCTCCGTTTCCCGGTACTCGGTCGATGCAGTAAAGGCACGCAATAAGAAATGGAAGGATAGATATATCATGAAGGAGATACAAACATGACGGGACGCGTGTCACGCTCATTTCCTTTCCGGATTACGTTCTAACCGTCCGCACTCTGCCATCCGACCGCTTACGGCTTACATTGTACGAGGGACCACGTGATTCTTCGATCCGAAACAAGAGAAACATTGTCATTAAAACTAGAAACGAGAACCGGCAACGATGCTAGTGCGCGCTAACGAAAAAACAAAAACGACTGTTCGATCTCGCGAAAAAAATTAAGGAAGCTTCGATATCCTGGCAAACAACGATCGATCTTCCGTCGATCTTCTTATATAAAATAATTCTAAAACAACGTCAACATGAAGTTTTTAATTAATCCTCGCCGCGGGCGACGTGAAAACGTCGAAGGCCGCTGCGCGAGAAACACCGGGAACGTAAAATTCTTTCGACAGCACCAACTATACCAAATCGGCCAAGATTATTTCTAACTAAACGTTTTTCCACCTTCTCCATCTAAACACGTGTAACACTACTTACCCCTTAAACGTTAATCGTTAAATTTAATTAGTGAAAATCCTCGAGTCGCGGTCAAAAACTCGTCTCTGTCCGTCGGTTTTCCTTTCTCGGTCATTCTCACTCTCTTTCTCGCTCTCGTTCTCTCGATTTTTTTGGTTTTCTTAGCGTACGTACGTTTATTGTTTATGAGATGTGTGTATAAAAAAATATGAATCGTTTCATTTCATCTATCAGAGGTAGATACGCAGGAAACAGAAGCAGTATTCTTATCTTTCTTTCGTCTTTTTTTCTTTCTTTCTATCTTTCTTTCTTTCATCTCTTCTCCCGTTACTTTTCCTTTTTATTTTTTTTTGTTCATATCATTATAATTATTCAGTTTTGTATCTTCTTTACGTAGCCGTTTTGTTTTGCGTAGTAAACAACTATTGCCGAAGAGCCATTTTGTTCTTTTCGGTAAATCTATTTATCCTCTCACGCTCTGTCTCTTTCTCTCCCTCTCACTCTCGCTCACAACTCTCTTGTCCACTCTTTCACCGGAAGTTTACGATCTCTAAGGGTATCTCTGTGTGTCCTGTGTGTATGTGTGTGTGCGTGTGTTCGTGTGTTTTAATCGAATTCTTAAGTAACGCCGGCGGAACACCTTGCATCATCTTTAGCCCCCTCCCCTTATTCCTTCTTCTCAAGGTTCGTTCCCGAAAAACGTTTGAAGAAACCGGTGGATACGCGAGAGGAAACGAACATCATCGTCGGGGAACGAAACGAAACGAAACGAAACGAAACGCGACGCGACGCGACGAAACAGGAAACGAAATTGAAACCTAAAGACGTAGAACGGTTACAAGTGTGCGTTCGTTTCGCTTCTCTTCGCTGGATTCCCTTTGCCTCGATCGCGACGGGGCATACAGATCGCAAAACAGGAAACAATACAAAGAAAACGGAATACACGCGACTACATTTGGTTAAGTGCTCCCCCTCAATCCCTCCCTAGCCCCCATCGACAAAAAAAGACTGAAAAAAACGGATACCTTACGGACGATTGTATGTTCACACGTAATTACGTATAGGAGTGTTTTATGCAAGTTAATATGTACAATTCGTAGGACTGAAAGTCAACTATACAATAATAATAATAATAATAATAATAATAATAATAATAATAATAATAATAGTAATAATAATAATANCGGTCGATGCAGTAAAGGCACGCAATAAGAAATGGAAGGATAGATATATCATGAAGGAGATACAAACATGACGGGACGCGTGTCACGCTCATTTCCTTTCCGGATTACGTTCTAACCGTCCGCACTCTGCCATCCGACCGCTTACGGCTTACATTGTACGAGGGACCACGTGATTCTTCGATCCGAAACAAGAGAAACATTGTCATTAAAACTAGAAACGAGAACCGGCAACGATGCTAGTGCGCGCTAACGAAAAAACAAAAACGACTGTTCGATCTCGCGAAAAAAATTAAGGAAGCTTCGATATCCTGGCAAACAACGATCGATCTTCCGTCGATCTTCTTATATAAAATAATTCTAAAACAACGTCAACATGAAGTTTTTAATTAATCCTCGCCGCGGGCGACGTGAAAACGTCGAAGGCCGCTGCGCGAGAAACACCGGGAACGTAAAATTCTTTCGACAGCACCAACTATACCAAATCGGCCAAGATTATTTCTAACTAAACGTTTTTCCACCTTCTCCATCTAAACACGTGTAACACTACTTACCCCTTAAACGTTAATCGTTAAATTTAATTAGTGAAAATCCTCGAGTCGCGGTCAAAAACTCGTCTCTGTCCGTCGGTTTTCCTTTCTCGGTCATTCTCACTCTCTTTCTCGCTCTCGTTCTCTCGATTTTTTTGGTTTTCTTAGCGTACGTACGTTTATTGTTTATGAGATGTGTGTATAAAAAAATATGAATCGTTTCATTTCATCTATCAGAGGTAGATACGCAGGAAACAGAAGCAGTATTCTTATCTTTCTTTCGTCTTTTTTTCTTTCTTTCTATCTTTCTTTCTTTCATCTCTTCTCCCGTTACTTTTCCTTTTTATTTTTTTTTGTTCATATCATTATAATTATTCAGTTTTGTATCTTCTTTACGTAGCCGTTTTGTTTTGCGTAGTAAACAACTATTGCCGAAGAGCCATTTTGTTCTTTTCGGTAAATCTATTTATCCTCTCACGCTCTGTCTCTTTCTCTCCCTCTCACTCTCGCTCACAACTCTCTTGTCCACTCTTTCACCGGAAGTTTACGATCTCTAAGGGTATCTCTGTGTGTCCTGTGTGTATGTGTGTGTGCGTGTGTTCGTGTGTTTTAATCGAATTCTTAAGTAACGCCGGCGGAACACCTTGCATCATCTTTAGCCCCCTCCCCTTATTCCTTCTTCTCAAGGTTCGTTCCCGAAAAACGTTTGAAGAAACCGGTGGATACGCGAGAGGAAACGAACATCATCGTCGGGGAACGAAACGAAACGAAACGAAACGAAACGCGACGCGACGCGACGAAACAGGAAACGAAATTGAAACCTAAAGACGTAGAACGGTTACAAGTGTGCGTTCGTTTCGCTTCTCTTCGCTGGATTCCCTTTGCCTCGATCGCGACGGGGCATACAGATCGCAAAACAGGAAACAATACAAAGAAAACGGAATACACGCGACTACATTTGGTTAAGTGCTCCCCCTCAATCCCTCCCTAGCCCCCATCGACAAAAAAAGACTGAAAAAAACGGATACCTTACGGACGATTGTATGTTCACACGTAATTACGTATAGGAGTGTTTTATGCAAGTTAATATGTACAATTCGTAGGACTGAAAGTCAACTATACAATAATAATAATAATAATAATAATAATAATAATAATAATAATAATAATAGTAATAATAATAATATTAACATTAATAATAATAATAATAATCCTAATAAAAACCTGGAACGTTAATGGAAAGTGGCAATAGCCTCGCGCGAACACGCGACGAGCCCTAATTAATTCTGTACACTATCCGAGTATACATAACTTGCAACACAAAACGACAAACGAGCGTCCAGTTCCCGTGTACACGAAGAAAGCGCGCTACGAGAAAACGCAAAGCTCGCGGGGAAAGAATAAATGAATAAACGGGAGGAAAAGCTCGTGACGCGCGTTGAATCCGACGAGAAGCTGACGGGCATTCGAATCGGACGTTGTATTCATTTTCGATAAGCGCGGCTTTCGATAGTACGATTTTCAAATTCGCCTCAGATTTTGGGAACGGTCCGACTCGTCGCCGTGTACATTTCGCTCCTCGTCCTCCTCTCCGTCTTCTCGATTTTCTCCCGGTGAAAAACACAATGGAATAAACGCAGCGACGTTGTTCGCCTTACTCGAATCTTTTCATTCTCGTTCGCATGCTGTAATTAAAATCGTGTACCTTCGTCGTAATAGGTCCTTTTCTCGGCGCCGACACATAACGTCTCGTACCCTGAATTTACTTTCTCTTAGTATTTCTTTTCACCTTGCTCCCCTTTCCTTCGCGCTCTTCTCACTATCTCTCTCTCTCTCTCTCTCTCTCTCTCTCTCTCTACTCTCCCTCTCATTCTCTCTCATTCTCCCTCCTCTTTATCTGTTTCTGTATCTCAGTACGCCTTTGTCACCGAAATTCCTCTCCGGAAGTTGCGGTCCGTTCACGGGCGAGCCGAGGCAGGATGTTGACGATCGCGTGACGACGACCGGGTCCCTCTCTGTATCTTTCTCATTCGTACTCTCGTCTCTCTCTCTCTCTCTCTCGCTCGCTCTCTCTTTTACTCGTTCTTCTACGCGTCGGGGCCAGCTCGGCTAAGAGAAAAGGCGCGCAAATGCGTATCAACAGAAATTTGCACAAACCAGCAACGTGACAGCTGGATGCTCTGTGCGAAGTAGCGTCCCTGAGACCTGCGACAGTTGGCGCTAGTGCACTTGAGCAGGCTGGCGTCAGTCGCTACCGGTCCCGCTGTTGCCAAAATACTCGCCGGCGTCCCCGCGGCAGATTGGACAGGTTCGGTTCGACTGAAACAGAGAAGGTCGAGGTACTTAGTCAACTTCAACAGTGACTACTTAAAGGAACAGCTTCTAGGTGTTGCTTTAAGACTTCAGTATTAGAGCAGCTCCTAGGTGCTGTCTTCGTACTTCAGTATCAGGCATTTCTTTTCTAATGCATTTCCTTCAACAAATTCCCTTTCTATTACAGGATGTTTGCAAACATCATAAAGCATTTCGAACTGTGGTATTTTCAAAGAGAAACATAGATAGGATAGTGGAACTGGGGGGTTACTGTGGGATGACCAATTGCTGTGCCTTTGGTTTGATTTTAGGCATTACGTAACTTTATATTTATGGAATGAGACATGCCAAATTTTTTTATTGAAAAATAAACAAAATAAAAGAATGAACAAATTCATAAATAAGTGTAAATCTCAGTAACCAGCTTCACTACCCCATGTGCTTTAATTATTAAAAAATAAAAGATCAACTCGCAGAATGATGTCTTTGCAAGTTACAAATGCTGAATGTGTCCACGTTTGGTGACACAGCAGACACGTGTACTATAGTCTAGTCCGACCCATACCCTACATAAGTTCCCTACATAGTGTCCATCCATACTGTGTACATTATGGATCAAACTAGACTAATATATGCATGCTTGCCGTGTGACCAAAGTTGGTTGAACATTTGTGAGACATGTCGAACCAGAACTACCATCTGTGTCTTTTCTTTGAGAAGGATTGTTGCCTCTGTCTTTCCTTCCATTCGTATCTATGTCTTCATTTAAAAATACGGCCCTGCCAAGTGTTGTTCACAGTTTCTAAACACTCGTAGGACATAGCTCGCAGTAGCATACATTGATAGCAAGGATCAGAGTACAAGAACTTACTCTGAGCCACTTGTCGATGCACTTGGAGTGGAACTCGTGAGAGCAGGGCAGCACGCGTAAGGACTGCAAGGCCTCGAAGTCGCACATGCAGACCACGCAGTTGGTCTGGTCGCCCTGGTGCGTTTCCGCGTTGAATTTGTAAGAGGGCAGCTGCTCGACTTCGGCTCTGGTCATTCCACGCGGTTTCGCCTCCCCTAACCTCTCCGCTAAGGTCAGCAAAGCCTCGTAATTCTCGGTCGCTGAATCCGAGACGGACAGCGAGGACAGCTCCGCCTGGCTGTACGGGGATAATGGTGGCGGGTTTCTTAACATCGCCCTGGAAATTGCGAAATTTTCGTTGATTACTGCGGTGAGCAAGAGCGTTTCGGTTGCGAAACATCGGCGAGAAAGATGCAAACAGCGTTGCAGCTGGTAAAGGTGCTTACAAGAGGTGCAGTAAGAATCCTGGGATAGGTACGGATCCAGGCGGTACGCCTCTCCATCGTCTCAATCGTCTGAGCGTGATGACACTACGTTCGGCCGGTGGACGGGGTCTCGTCTGAATCATCTCCAATTGACTATTCCTGGTTTCCGACAAGAATATGGGTGGAGGTGTCGTGACTTGAGTGAGAGCCGGCGGTGAGTACGAATGCGGTAATGGTAATGGAGCACCCGCGGCGGCTCCGACTCGTTGCGGGTGATGGGATTCTATTAACTCTAATTCGACTTCCCGCTGTAACGAACAAAGAAGGAATCAGTAAATACATGCCGCCTTGGAAAGTATCGGGTTGACAATAGAAAGTCGATGGTGTGAATCGGAAATCGCTACAGAACTTTATCCCTAAGAGCTCAATACTCAAGTTTATACTATTAAAGACACTGTTATATGGCTATGTAAAAAATTTCGTTTAGGTCCACCGTATCGTGTCGCATTACTGCATAAACCTGTGCGAGCATTTTTCAAGGCAGTCGTCGTTTGCTTTTGACACAAACAGAATAAACTGCTTCCGATTCACCGATGGGGTATACTAATTAGACTGCAGATCTTGATGCAAGCTAAAGGTCTGACATCTCGACGAAGTCAAATCTGGAAGTCGAGTGAAATTGAGATTGCACCAAGACCGTAGTCTAGAAATGATTGAACACTGTACCTGTTGTGAGAGCTGGTGGTGTGTTGTGTAGTGAGCAGTATGGACGGGGGGTGGAGGCGCGTGAGCATGATGGTGGGCTGCGACGGGACCTCCAGCAGGCGTTGGATATACTCTGGATGGTGCGCCCATTATCGTACCGACCAGACTATGAGCTGGATGGTTCGGATGGGGCGTGGAATAGTGGCCCGGGTGATGAGGGACCTAAAAACATTTAAACGTTCCCATGCATATCAAACGAAACACTGAATCAGCGGGAACTTTCCTTGTTTCGCCACAAGTGTGAATCACCGACTGTTACGAATCAATGTTACTTATGCGAGTGGAGAATAAAATTGTGCGTGTTCTCTGCACGCTGAACCCTTCATCATCTATCTCTGTCTATCTTTCGCATACCAAACTGTCCTTGTTTATAAGGATCAGAAGACTGAATTTATTTAGAGTCTTCGTCAGTTCTATCGTAATGCATGTTTGAGCTAAAAAAATGTATTCAAACATTTTTTTAAGAAAGAGTTTTTATAACTTCCACAATGTCAAAATAAAAAATGTGACACCGGCATTGGTAGGTTTAGCGTCGATTAAGGCAGCTATTTATTTGGAGCAAGACTGGAAGAGCAGAATCTAATCAAATTGCCCTGCATCACTTCGCTTAATTAGAGAACAGAGTAGTCTAAGTGTTTCGAAGAACTAGAATCTACTGTATATCCTTTATATTCCAGCAAGGTTTTCTAAAAGTTTACCCACCACTTGATACTTCCAATCTTAAGTACAAAACTACCCTTCAGTTGTAACTCATTCAAACAGTGGCTACTTTGCATACAAATCTTGAAAACTGATTAAGAACAAAGGGATAGAGATGTTCTCCAGCTGTTCCGGCATCAGTTTCATACAGATCTAAAAATTATTAGGTCATTAGATATGAAATGCATTCTTTACTCTATAATTTTGCTATAAAATCTATACACTTCATAGTTAATGATCAAATAGCCCCAAGTTGTAGACCTTTCTGGAAACAGTGTCAACCCTGACTTTAAAACTTGGGAACAGGCTAACTTGATGAGAAAGAATAAAAGTACAGCTTCGTAGAGATTTAGAAAGTAGTGCCCGTCGACGAGAAGATGGCACAGATGTCGGCAATGGGGTGTGGGAAAACCTCACTCTCAGGTATAGTCCATGTATAGTAGGTAGATAGGATATCAAGTGATGGAGGATTGATTCCTACAAGTTCCTCTGTGCCATTTTCTCGTGGGCGGGCGGTACCTCCGGCATCAAGTAGAAAACAACCCCTAAATTGTAACATCGCTAGAGTATGTGTCTAAACTAGATAACCGAGTAGATTCTAGATTTCTCCAAGCCGAAAGACAGGTGATCCAGTATCGCATTTAAGAAGTATCGACTCGTAACGGTTCGCGTGAGCAGCTCGTAGCCGGTGCAGACCAGGGATGCTTACCTGACACGAGTGCGCAAACGCGTGTGCCCCGTTCGGCGTGTATATGCCGTGCAGCTGGCAAGGAATTCTGTAACCTGTCGCTTGAGGATGCCAGGGGGGATCCCCGCTCACGGCAACCCCTAAGCCGGTTACACCGACTTGGCCGACGTCGACCACCACAGGTCCGTCCGCCCCTTGCGCAGGATGGTGTCCCGTCCCGGCCGGATGATGGGGATGCGTCTGATGCGCGTTATGCATATTATAGTGGGAGTTATGCAGATTATGGTGAATGTTGAGATGAGAGCCGTGGATCTCATGGAGCGCGTTGTGAATGGACAGAAGGGCTTGGTGACCGGGCCGCAGCGGTTGCGTATGCCCGAAAGTTTCGAATCGTTGATGACGACTCCTCACGGTCGGGCGATGGCGTGGCAATCGTCGCTGAGGCACCGGAGAGAAATCCCATGGCGGCGGAGGAGTTGGCAGGGACGGTAAAGAGGATATGGATGGTAGGGTCGTGTGCAGCGGGGGCGTAGGCGACGGAGGCGTCGTTTCGTGGACCTCTATCTCGGAAACGGCGCCGTTGCGAGATATCCGACGACGTTTTCTGGATGGAGACTCGCTCTGAAAACAACCAACATATGTTTCTCCATCTTCTTTTCCTTTCTTTTTCCTTTTATTTTACGTAGCAAAGCACGCGCCGCGCTGATGATTTACCTTTCTGCCGTCGTCTTGACTAGGCTGTCTGTAATATGGCGGCGACGGCTGGATTTGTACAGGACTCAAAGGTAGCTGATTGGTGGCTGAAAAACACGTACCGTTGGTTAAAGAATCGTAACGAAGAGGCACGCACGGCTAGCCGAGAGAGAAAGATCGATAGAGACCCGATGTTTCGAAACTCGGCGTGTGTATATACCTTGGGAACTCCTACGGTACTCCATATCGACGCCGCTGGCTCCTAGACCCGGGCTCAGGTTCATTAATGGATCACGCATCGGGTTCTCCTGCGAGTGCATACAGTTTTTTTTTTTTTTAAATACTCAACTACGGGAATCTGGATCGAGGAGTTTTTCTGTGTTTCTCCATCATCCCTCTATTTACTTCCGGATGCTTACCTGGCCGCAGATATTGATGTGCAGTGGAGGAGAGTTCGCCGGAGGGCCCACGGACTCCGGCGCAAAATGGGCCGGCGGTCCTCTGGACTGAGGACTGTGCTGAGGGGGCGGCTTATAACCAACGCTGGATCCGCCTACGCTACCGTGATACGAGACTTCCTTACCGTTTGGTCCGGAAGACGTACCCACCCCAGGACAATCCCTAAATTCGTGCAGAAACGTTACATTGTTAATCTACGAATCATCATAGTCCCACCAAATCGTCGCGTCGCGGTGAAAGTACTCGATGCTCCACGAAAATCGTTAGCGACCATAATCACCGGTTAGCGTACGCCGCGTCTCTTGCCAATCATCACACTTTCGATTCTTTTTAAATCCTGGAGAATGTAGTCCTTTATTATACTGAACATACTGCGTCTAATTATAGTGTGCATTGGCAATAAAAGGAAATGGACGCAGTGTCGACTTTTACTTGCTAGCTCATAATTAGACCGCGAATCTTTCCGCAAAATGAAAATTGTTTCCATACAGTTTGAATAAATAGAATATAACAGCAAATCCGGAACCGATCAATACATGTTGGTAGACTTTGTGTTGAAAATGTTCGTATATGAAGAAGTGTTATTTTCTGTGAAACTATTAGATCTATAAACAAAACAATTACTTAAAGATATCGGTGAAAAGTACGAACGCCAAAGATATTCTCCATGTGAGAAAGTACCATTTTCGGTAAAATATCTGCAGAAATCGCAAAGTCCTTTTCTTCACTGTTACACAGTTTCAATCACAAGTATGCATGAAACGCAAACGGTGGATTTTAAAGTAGGTGTCGATATATTGTTTTCGTTCTCTGCTATAATTATTACAGAAAGGAAACAGTTCTTAAGCGACTTTTGTACCTTGCAACACTACGCAGACAATTTCTACTTTGCATAAAGATCCGCAGTCTAGTTATTACATCGCTCGTCTACAGTTTTTCATGTAGAATGAAAACAGTTTGTATTCATTACACGATGCAGGAGCTGCGTTGACTTCTACTAGATCTTCTAACGTGTGTCGCAAACGCAAATGAAATCCGCAACATGGATTACATTTCAGAATGACGATTTAAGAGGAAGAACAGCACACACATGATTCAAGGCACAAAGGTTCGAAACCGTGAAACTATTTTTCCTCTTAACGATCGAGTACTTCAACTGCGACGGGGACAGGCGCGCGATTTTAAAAAAGGAACGTGTTTCTTCCGGAACTCGATTTACGTCAATTGTCAATCATTCGGCCGTGTGTCGATCCGTTCAAGAATTACTATGTGCGGTGTACCGGTTCTAACGGGCTCGACGGCGTTGGCCAAAGCGTCCGGGACAAACACGCCTATGTATCCACGCCCTCCGATACGGCACAATTATCATCGCGAGATTCCTGTTCTGTTATCCTTAACTCATTACTAAATCCGAGCGCAGCGCGATTAAACGTTCCCGTTGCTCTAGATACAACGAACGCGTCGCAGTATTATTTCTAGCTGCGCGCAGCTGAACAAATGTAGCGACGTCGTAAACGAGGCACCGTGCTGTTTACACGAATCGTTTGCGATATAATAATCAACAAATCGATGCTGACGACGTTCGATCGACTTGCGTTCGACGTCATTGCACGAGCACGTGGGTTTTGGTACTTTCGAATGGAGTCGAACGTGCTATTCGAGGCTCGAACTCCAAACTGGACCAAATATTTTTAACCCCTCGCATGCTATTCGAGTATCACACCGGTCTACAATGTTCTTTTGTTGTCTAAACGGGTCCCTTGATCGCGCGTCTTCAATCTTATGAATGATTTCTGCGTAGAACGATTCCGTACGATATATCTTTCCATTATCGACAACTATGTACTGGGGAAAAATTTCGAATATCTATCAAAGCGTAAGAATCTTTTTGAAACAATGACTAAAATAAAAAAATTTCGTCTTCCAACTTCTTTTATCTGAACCTGGGGAACGGTAATTTATATACGTAGTGAAAATTTCATTAAAATCGGCTTCGAAACGCTTTTCTAACGCGCCAGTTTCGGCAGACATGTTTCTTTTGGAGCAAAATCAAAGGTTTAGAAGATCTATGGACTTTAGAAACAAAGGAGATCAGTTGGACAAGAATCCGTAACGGTATAGTGCTTGCTGGCAGAGATGATTTGTATCGTTTTTTTTTATTAAAAGTCGTAAGTTGCAGTCTTTTTCGCGCAATCAGCATATACGTAATACCGAATGAGATTCTAATTTCGAGATTTTGTAAACACTCCGAGCATTGTTCCTAATTTTTATACGTTATTTCGCAAGAACATGAATTACAGAAAGGATTACTTAGTCAACTAAAACGTTGCTTATTCTAAAACAGGAGATAACAATGACATTAGACCTTGTTAGCTTATACGTATCGTGGCATTTTAAAAATCTGCACGTACTCGTTGTAAAAGGAAGATAAAAATGCTACCGGTCTTTGCTTAGTTTATACGTTTTGTTGCACCTTAAAAGTCAGCACGTGCCGTAAGTGCATAAAGCTCCGCGGTCTACTTACGATTCTAATAAAGCAACGTGTAATCAAGTTAATGTATCTATGTATCTGTAAGATCGCAGACGAGCAGTTACAAATGAGTGGGTTGGAACCATGGTGGCGTAAGTGATATTTTTCGAGGACTTGAACTTACGTCTTTAAACATGACGTGTCCGTAACGTGTCAAAATGTTCACAAGACACGCGAAACAAATTACAAAGTTGTTACAAATTAACTCGACTCCGACTTATCTTAACAGTGCATATTTCCAATAAACAACACACATGCTAGTGTGTAACAATAACGCTACCGGTTTCTCACAATGAGGAGAACGCGACTTGCGCCGCTATGATTCTGAACCGCTCAAATATTAAAGAGAACACCGAGCAGCTCGAACATTCGATATCTCCCGCAAATAACGGGCGGCTGCACAACAATAAGAACCACCAGACGTACAAAGAAGACCCGCGTATGCTCGTCCAAAACTGATACTCGTATGTACAGTGGCATGCTAAACAAGATAACCAGTGATTAAATGCATAAACATGGTACGCAACGAAAGATACATGGTACACAGAACAAAAGAAACAAACGTAGTAGCATTCGCCGGCAAGGAGAACGGTGAAAGAAAAAAATCGTGTTTCGCCATTGACGAACGCCGCGATTGCTATTGATCTGAGGTGGTACCTCGAAGGTCGCGTGCTGTACGGTGTGCATCATGCAGCAATGAGTCGGCCCGGCGAACAAATTCGGAATTTCCGTAGCCGTCATTGGAACGCCGGGGAATACAGAACGATTTTTTGCGAACGGGAGTTTGCGCCGCGCCATTCGTGGACACCAGCCAGTCCCTATATTCTATTTACAACGTGGATCCTATGTATTTACGTACAGATACGCTTTCACGAACGGCTCGTACCCGCGAGCGAAGCTGACGTCTGCCTTTTTCCTCATGCAAATGCCGGTGCGCGCGCGCGCGCACGCCAGCGAGCGGACGAGCGAACGGGCGAGCGAGCGAGCTCGCCTATGTGTCGCATGCGAATTTTGAACGGTCAGCATCGGCGACGGGATTTTGCGCATCTCCGTTGACGAAACGTGTCGAGTGGTTCGCACGAAATTCGAATGGATCCTGCGGAATCGCGTGGCGACGACTGCGTCGCTACGTCGAAACTGAAAACGCGTGCATCCCGAGGAGGGCGCCCCTGCGCCCGTTTATTATCGTTGATTAGAATGGTCGACTCCTCTCTCGGCGATGCCTACGCTGGAAATTAAATACGCGCTTGCCAGGCTGAACGCGTCGCTTGGCAAAACACTTTCGCGGCGCTCTCGCTCCGAAGACTCGGCGTAGGTCCTCGAACGGCGCTCGCCGGGTTCGAATGTTCGAGCTGCTTTGAATTTATTGGTGAAATTACGAGCGAAATATTTGAACATTTTGGAGTTTCGTGTTCGCGTACAGTGGGTGAAACATGGCTTTCAAGTGGCGTAACTTTCTTGAAACTCAGGGAATTGTACCTTTTTTGCGATGTTATTTTGATATTGCTTGGAATGACAAAATAAACGACTCGCGAATTTACAACTTTTTTTTATCTGAACTTATAATGAGAATTTAAGAAATGCGTTTTGCAGATGTCGGTAAGTTGTATGTAGGCCGCGCAGATTTTATGCACATCCGACAAAGAGATCAATAGGTCAAGTACAAAATTGTAAAGGAATTTGAAGAATGTAAGGATACCGTTACATTATTTTCAATTCATTACAATTATTGAAAGAGGAGGGACCGTCTAATATATTTTTACCACAAAAGATCTAGTTTGAAAAATCAATGTCACCCATACATGTGACCGACGCGTCGCTCAACGTGTTGAAACTCCAAAAACGCCTATCTCGGTTCAGTTGAATGCGAAGTTCGAGCCATTTGAACTTGAAACAGTAGAAACTTCTCAGACTACTCGAATTCGAAAGATATTCAACAATTCACTCGAGGTCGAATTACGTGGACTACTTTCGCCGATACGGATTCAGAATGAAATAGAATGAGTTAATTAATGGTAAAGAATTTAAACCGACTGTAACGAGAGCTAAGTATTTTAGCAGGAATAATAGATGCAAAGTGTGTTTGTATTCTTATCATGCTGTAAGTTGCAGGAAGAGCAAAATGGCGTTCCCTGCGTCCGGCATACAGAACGCAGATCTCTTTCAAAAACGTTTCTGTATTGTTCTCCGATTGTGATACAGCGTTCCAGAAGGTGCGGGTTGTCTTTTCTAGGCTTGGACTGCGAATTTTTCACGGGCGTAACGAAAGAGAACTGATCGGCACACTTAACTGCCGGTCGACCGTTATAGAAACCGTTTTGAGAATTATGCCAGCATTGTGCGTTACCGAATTACGCAACCGGTATCCCGGTCAGAGAAAAAAAGAAACCGGGCGATAATTATTCGCCTCATTACGTGATAACCAAATCGCGGCACTTCCGATTGCGGGAGCGGAGAATGTGTTATGCGGATGGATTGGGTACCGAGTCGATAGCTGCGCATTTACGAGACGTATAATGTGGATGTTATATATAATTAAGACGCAGTTTACACCGTTTCGAAAAGCTAGAAAAGCTATAGCATTTTTCCCGAAAAGTCCCACCGTTCGCAACGTCATCAAAATTTCTTTTACGCGGATGCCTCTCCTTTGAATCTTACATGTTGATAGGTGAACGTAATAAAAAAATATATAGATCATCAATTTATATGCAAAACTTTTCTTGTCTATACGTTTTTAATCCGGTGGCACGGAAATTGCTAATAGACACGGAACCTGGGACATCTAACCTAGTGTGCTAATCGTCCTACTCGAACAAAAAAAAAAGTCAGGTCGTTTGGCTCCGTTTCGACAAAGTTGCAGAATCGAAGCTCTTTCAACGCGTTCGCTGTCAGGGTCCATACCCAAATATCGATTACAACGGAACAGAATTATTACTAGAAGAAATCATTATCGTCAGATATTTCTGGCGCTGAAATCTCCTCCTTTAAAAACCTGGTCTACGATTTATATCGCTAAACTTTCCATACTAATATCCGTTTTATCTTGTGCCCGGTTTTGATTCAACGCTGTTATTTAAAAAATATGAATAAAATAAATTATATAAGTTTTACGCGATTCCATTCGATCTAGCACGATTTAAAAAGTTATCCGATTTAAATTTTAAGGACAATTATTTGCATTAACCGTCATTTTCTAAATACATTTAGAGCAGTTCCATTTTTTTGTATGTATATATACGATGTCCTTTTTTAGACGACGTTTTTTTTGTACGGTTTTTTTCTGAAACGAACATATCTACTATATACAAACAGATCGGTTGTACATTTCTTTCCTTCCCCTTAAACCGTTGTTCTCTATCGTAACTGAACAGATGTCTCCCTATATCGGTTTCTTGCCCGAACAATAAATAAATAAATAAATAAATAAATAAATAAATAAATAAATAAATAAATAAATAAATAAATAAATAAATAAATAAATAAATAAATAAATAAATAAATAAATAAATAAATAAATAAATAAATAAATAAATAAATAAATAAATAAATAAATAAATAAATAAATAAATAAATAAATAAATAAATAAATAAATAAATAAATAAATAAATAAATAAATAAATAAATAAATAAATAAATAAATAAATAAATAAATAAATAAATAAATAAATAAATAAATAAATAAATAAATAAATAAATAAATAAATAAATAAATAAATAAATAAATAAATAAATAAATAAATAAATAAATAAATAAATAAATAAATAAATAAATAAATAAATAAATAAATAAATAAATAAATAAATAAATAAATAAATAAATAAATAAATAAATAAATAAATAAATAAATAAATAAATAAATAAATAAATAAATAAATAAATAAATAAATAAATAAATAAATAAATAAATAAATAAATAAATAAATAAATAAATAAATAAATAAATAAATAAATAAATAAATAAATAAATAAATAAATAAATAAATAAATAAATAAATAAATAAATAAATAAATAAATAAATAAATAAATAAATAAATAAATAAATAAATAAATAAATAAATAAATAAATAAATAAATAAATAAATAAATAAATAAATAAATAAATAAATAAATAAATAAATAAATAAATAAATAAATAAATAAATAAATAAATAAATAAATAAATAAATAAATAAATAAATAAATAAATAAATAAATAAATAAATAAATAAATAAATAAATAAATAAATAAATAAATAAATAAATAAATAAATAAATAAATAAATAAATAAATAAATAAATAAATAAATAAATAAATAAATAAATAAATAAATAAATAAATAAATAAATAAATAAATAAATAAATAAATAAATAAATAAATAAATAAATAAATAAATAAATAAATAAATAAATAAATAAATAAATAAATAAATAAATCAATAAATAAATAAATAAATAAATAAATAAATAAATAAATAAATAAATAAATAAATAAATAAATAATGGACCGATGGTATCGATCGCGATAATGAGTGCAAGATCGTTATATGTATACCCGTTGTGGAAGCGTGGCGGTGGACACTGTCGATACGGGTATTCCTTGTTGCCGGTGTATTGCTGAGGTATCTGGGCATGCTGAGGGTGCTGATTATGGGGGTGCCATCCACCGCGGGCATGTGGCGGCGCCGGTGGTCGCGGGTGAGGCCCAGCCTGGGTGCCACCGGTTATTACGGCCCTGTAACGTCCCTGCATGCCCAAGCCGCGATGCTGATGACTCCCAGGGCCGTTCATTCCCTTCCCCTCGTTCGGTCTCTCTTTTTCGAGCCTATTCTACACCCTTCCACCTCCTATGTCTCTCTTTTTACCTTTTCTCTCTTTCTCTCGCCACCTGCGTATGTATGTATATGTACCTATATACAGTATATAGATAATTCTAGCCGCCTCCTCTCTCCTTCCCACCCTTCCTCACTCTCTCTCACTCTTTTTTTCTCTCTTTCTCTTCCCCACTCTCTCTTTCTCCCTTTTCGTCGTGTTATCGTTGTCGAATAGCAGAGACACGGGGCGAGGTTGAGCCCACCGTGCAATTTCGCTCGGCTTGTATTTTCTCTCGGCGAAAGCCCTCCTCTGGGTTCGTGTTTACGTGCACGCCCCGCAAGAACAGTCCTCCGAGATATCGAAACCTGGCGAGATCATGCGAACCACATTACACACGTGATATCTCGTCGTCGGGTCCGCGAGGCTAGGAGAACTAGCGAGATTTCTACTTCGGGAGCCCTTTTTTCGAATTTTTGGGCCCTAGACTTTAGATTCTATTAGACCTCAGACTCAGATCTCTATCAGAGATCTCAGTCTCTATCAGACTCTAGTCTCTATTTAGCCTCTAGAATCTACTAAAATCTACTAAATTCTACTAGACTTTAAAACTCTATTAGATTCTAAACTCTACTAGACTTTAGATTCTGTTAAATTCTAGTCTCCAAATTCTAGAGTCTAGAGGACATTCGAGCTGGCCACTCTATTGACCGGAAGCTAAGGCACCGACGCGACATCAAGCTCGAAGACATGGTACATGGCTAATGTTATATGAACTAAAAACGTGATTAAGCGTCCAGAAGCCCAGAATGGGGGATGGAGGATTCAGTATTGTGCATAGTAATACGAAAACGGTACCTCCATTTTGAACTTTCTTTTCAACATGAACATATGAAATAGAGGAGTTTAAATTCAAAGCTTAATGTGTAATGAATAATATTAGGCTTATGTATGAATGAATGTATGTATATATTTATGTACGTATGTACGACGTATGCTCGTATGCATGTCAAGGTTATGGCACGTATGTACGTATGTGCGGCGAATGCACGCATGTGCGGTGTATGCACGTATGTACGTATGAACGACGTATTAGGATCCATTTATACTAACGTCAACGCGCCAACAAAAGTATTCGTCCACCTTTTAAAACGCAATAACTTTTTTGAAACTGGACCGAATGACTTGAATTTTTTTTTTAATGATAGAGGGACAATGACTAAAATGCTCTTTCTTTCATTTTGCTATTACTTGGAATTACAAAAAGAAATAAAAAAAACTTTCGTCTTTAACTCTTTTATCTAAGCCTATAACGAAACTTTAAAAAATTTATTTCGTAGGTCTCGGTAACTTATATGCATGCTAAAAATTTTATCAAAATCGATTGACGTTGTTATGACTTACGACAAATTAAAGATGGCAAAAATCGCAGATTTGTCACCATTTTAACTGTAACTTCGATGCCTGTAGTTCAGAACTACAGTTCAACGTTTGCACGTCCGTCTCATGGCGAGGCCACGTCTGTGAACCATAGTATTCTGTTAGTAGTGTAAGTTTTATGTGCGTAAGGTGCCCAAAAACATGACGATTAGTGTCCTGTTTATATACAGATGAAGTGGGTGATGACCTTTGAGATTTCGAAAAGACATGACATTGTCGGCGCGTTCACATTAGTATAAATGGACGCTTATGCACGTATGTACGTATGTGCAGCGAATGCACGTATGTACGATATGTGCACGACGTATGTACGACGTATGTACGACATGTGCACGACGTATGTAAAACGTATGTACGTATGTATGCTTATATGTATGTATGTATGTATGTATGTATGTATATGTGTATATTATGTACATATACATGTTTTTATTCCATATTTTAACAGATTGATGACCGGTCACGAGGTAACTCGTGTTCTCATGCCCAGACGTTGTAAACTTGTCGGTCAACGACGTGTTAAGTCAAAATGATATTCATATTGCGAATAGCTGCGAAAGAAATGATTATAAAGTAAATATTAATCTACTTCAAGCAATGCCAGGTACTTATGTTAAAAGTTTAGGTTATTCCCCCAACGACGACATACGAAGCTTCACCTTTCTCATAACCTATTTGTGCATATCGAATTGCAATTACGATACATGACCGGTATAACGCGTTATACATCTAAGAAAGACCGTTCCAAAGGTGAAGGCACAATATCTCATACCATGCACAATAGAGCGAAGTACAAATCGTTTAAGGAAGAAAAAACGAACTGGCGGCAATTGTTTGATCGAGCTAATTTGCGAGCGTGCCCGTCGAATCTCGTGTTTTTCCACGATTAATCCGTATGCGATTAAAAATGGTCTCCGCGGAGGGAATTGTTAACAGCCCAGAAGTAAACATTCAACATGCGAGTCACGGTTGGTGACCAATTCGGATGCGCGTTTTCTTGCCGCATCCTGGATAAAAAGCTCTCTCCTAGCCTCGGGTCCGACAACATGTACGAACGCTTCGGAACATTCGAGTATTTTTGCAGTTGCCACAGTCGAAATAAAACGTTTCAACTAAACTGTAGTGGAATCATTTTTAGGCTCTCGTGAGATGCACAATTTCTACGATTTTATGCTAGTTGCGTGTTTATTTTTTCTTTTACGTATTTTAAAATTTAATTCTTTGAGAACAATGCTGATCTATTTTTTGAACTCGATACTCAATACTCACAGTCGACGTTTATTGAATAATATGAAATTCTAGAAAATTCTTTGTTACTGCAGATCCTAATAAAGATAATAAAAGATGTCCAGCTACTACATTTGTGCATAATTTCAGATAAACTATTATCTTCGTTAATGAATTTGATAAAGTATATGTATATTTCGAAAATATCAAATAAAGTTAAAATTATTTAGTCTACAGTCTATGACTAGCTTTGTATTTTAGCTATACTTATATTATCTACATTGCATACTAATGGGTTTTTGCCCGTGTAATGAATAATCAAATAAATAAATAAATATACTTTAAAGGCTAGTTCTTTGAGAATATTCCTTACCTAACTTCTTTTATACATTTTTGAATCCAATGTTTTTCTAAATCGACATTGACCTTCTCATTGGAATATTATAAATAAATACTTTATACTATAGCTGGTAGAAAATGTAAATTTAGATGCCACACAACTGTTAATAGATCATCCATCTATTTTCTATTTCTGCCGGATGGTAAACACGGTTGATGGACATGGCGGCAAAACGATAAAATTTTGTTCATCGACCGCAAACACCACCCCCGCCATTTTGCCGCCCACTTCGCAGACGCTTGCGGCAGGAAGCTCTAAGAGGTCAGGAACGTAGGATGACTATCAAAGTGCCAGACTCTGCACGTCGCTTGTGCACTAGGTGCAAGCTGCAGTGTTGCAAAATCTCAGCATGGGCCTCCGTTTTTTTCAAACAGTTTAAGCTTGAATTTCTTCTGTAGAAGAATAGTAGTAGTAAGAATGTGTGTTAATTATCTGGTAAGTATCTGTAGTAAGAATAATAATAATTATTACGGAGGATGACTGAGTTAATATAGAGTCATAAATTAAATGAATTAACGATAGTACACAAAAATAAAAGACTATTAATCCTTCTATGGTGTTCATAAAAATTTATGCACTAAATGAACTGTACTATAATGCAATGTGTTTAAACTTATTGTATAAAACGCTATAATAATTAATACGAAAGTGCAAAAGAGAGTAAAAGTTGATTTGCAGAATTCAATTGTGACTGCAACAAGATGGTAATTAACTCTTTGTAGACAATGATTTTTAAAGTGCTAAGAATATTTTCCTCAGAAAACTAGATTATGCACCAAAGATTTAAATAATGAGAGAAATACACAATATGTCATAATCAAATCGTATGAGTCAGAACAAAATGCACAATTCTAACGTCATCATCAATATATCGATATCCGTTGTCAAAGGATTCAAATATTGTTTACGAGAACCCACCGAGTTTTTGTGCCTCAACATTATGTGTCTCGATTTCTCTATACTGATCCTTTGAATAGGATTCTTAATGATTTTAATAAATTTAAATGTCAACTCTATAATGTTATCAGACGTTAGGATGTCCAGTGTATGTTTGTCTGGTATATCGTAATCACATTGTTTCCACTTTCATTTTTATTATTATCTTATTATCGTTACTATTATTATTGTTATTATTATTGTTATTATTATCTTGTTGAATTTATGTCAAAAAATTAAAAGGCGATTTGGCTCGTTGATATTAAATAAATAAATAAATAAGTAAAATACAAGCCTAAGTCTAGATGATACAGACTGGTAACACCGTAGAAGGATTAAAAAGCCTTGCACGCAGAAGAAACCAAAGGTTGAATTTCTAAAAAAAATCGAAGGCCCATTTCGATAAACAGCATTTCACAGCATCGTTCACAATAAAAATCAGCGTATGCTGAAGCACAAGCCCGAGATCTAGTCTCGTAGACGACGAACGCCGGAGTCTCCGCTGCGTTCTGTGTACAAACGAGCTCCAAAATTTCCAACCGACTGGATTTCCGGAATTCCTCGAATTTTCCGGAGCGTTTGTCGTACAATTATATACACTTGTATGGAGATATTCACGTTGTTGAACGGTCCCGTTGATCCTCATTTTTCTCGTCCGGCTTCGGCAAACGTTTGCGTTCGTCGGCGTTCGCGACGCGGACAGCCCGTGAACAGGAGCGGCTGATAATTCCGCGGGAATATTTATGAAACCGGGGTGCCCCGACCGATTCTATCGCTAATCCCGTTTCGGCTCGTTCTCCGTTAGGACCTGAAGGCGTTCGAACGTAAAAACAGAGGTTCTTCTGGCTGCACGTTCAACGACGGACGAACACCGATGCGGTCTTTAACACTTGACTACCATGTGGCCGCCATGTTCCGGATGTCGCTCGAATTGCTACAGTCAAGAAAGGCGTTGCGAACTTTGCACTGACGAACGCGCGTTACGAAAACTAGGGACTGCAATATGTGCTAGTTTCTCGAGCCCTTTTTAGCAACCAAAATTGTGAGTTCGCAACCAACGTGTGAACACTTTACGCACCAGCAATTTTCGATCGTTTTATTAACACGTTGACTGCCCACCAAGACGCGTCTGTTAAATGTTTATTACTAACAAAAAGAGGGTTCATTTATTATCTTGTACTGATTATTATTTATTTATCCTTTTTTTAAAATATCGGCGTTAAGAACAGATTTCTCCAAAATAGGCAGTCAACGTTTTAAAATCGTAATTCAGCCGTTAAGAACTCTGTAAGCAATGGTTCGAAAGCGAACGTGATCCATAATTCAATAAATCATTCGTACAATGCGAAATTCTTCTGAAACTGTTATCTAAACGAATATTATCGAGCTTCTTTTGCATGTAGCTCGATGATCGAAAGGATACCGGTAAGTAACGTGCTACGCACTTTTGAAAATTGCATCTACCAAGGAAATCTCGTTCACCGCCGCGTGGAATTCGCGTTCTAAATATTTTGCAAAGTTTCGCACAAAAAAAGCAATACCCAAGTTTAAAAAATGTTTAACTCCAAATTTTTCGAAACTAAAAAATGTCTTTATGCTCCCCTTTTTATATTCATTTCAATCTAATTCTGTGCCCGTGTCTGCCTAACAAACGAAACTAGCCCGCGATTTCATACGAAAAAATCAGAAACCCGTCCGCGGTTAGAGGGTTACGATTGCTTTCGGTGTAATTTGGCTCGAAGAGAAGACGGGACCCGCGAGCCCGTTAAGCGACGCGATTGAAATTCGTTTGGCGAAGCGAAGACCGATTTCGTCGAATAATCGTGGCGGAATGCGAGCTCTCCTTGGTGGTCCGAGTCCGAGACGAGAGAAATTTCAGCCGATCTTCACGGAATCGGACAAGGACCGGTCTTGTTGCGAAAAGAGGCGCAGTGCGGCGTGTCCGGTAGCCGTCGCGTTAAAGACCGACACTGTTCGTGCGTGGTCGAGGACGACCTGTTAATGTCAAAATTCGTGTTATCCCGTAGTAGCGTACTGCGGACGTCTCTCCTTAGCATCGGAGCAGGTTTCCTCGGAAAGAAGAAAGAATTCGACGGAACATCGCTCCTCTTCGATGGCTCGCCGTCACGCGAACCGTCCCCGGCGACGTTTACCGTAACTTTAGCTAGAATCTAGAAGCACAAAACAGGGTTGGCCAGTTAACAAACGGACGTACATCTTTTGGGCGATCGTTTTGGACAGAGAGAAAGAGAAAAAGAGAGGAAGAAAGAGAAAGAGAGGAAAAAGAAAGAAAGAAAGAAAGAAAGAAAGAAAGAGGGAAAGAGAGAAAGAGGTAAAAAAAGAAGGAGATTGGGAGAGTGGCGGTTTTGTTAGAGCTGTTCGGTGTTCGGTGCGAGTGTCGGGGGATTGCTGAAGAGAAACAGTGTCCTTGGAAGCTGTTGGTCGAGAGTCTGTACAAAAAGCCGCTAAGCAGATGCGAGAGGCGCTAAGCTGGAGATTCGGGAAGCTTCATGCAGAATGACCCGCAGAGGATGCACGGTAATACGCGGATTGTTAATCCTAAGTGCGCTGGCACCAAGTGTGCGATGCAGACACCGACCCTATAAGTTCCCACTGTGCCAGTCATTGTTTCCTTCATGCCTCGCTATTTACAATACACTCTTTGATACTCGGGTCGATATGTATAATTTTTCGCTTGGATCGAACATGCGAAGACCGCAGGTTCTCGTAATGAATGAACAGCTACGATACTGACGTATCTCTTATTTAAAGAAACAGAGCACAGTGTAATTTAATGAGATCATAGAAGCACGTCCATATTTTTATTGGACAGAGGTTCACTGTGCGGGATGAACTACTCGATGCAACGAGTCTTACATTTCTAGAGATAATTACTACGGAACAGCAAAACTTTTCAGGACATCAAGTATTAAACCTGCTGTTTCCTTTGTTTATCTAGAACATTTTTATTGTCGAAGTTCGGTAGCGTCTAAATCATTAACATTCGGATTGTCGAGCTTAATGCGGCTTACTAATTTTCTACCTCGATGGCGGCGAACTGATAAGATTGTTTTACAAGAAGGTGGATGAGGAAAGTCTTCTTCTATTTCACGAATATCCAGGTTAAATTAACGCAAAAGGGTCTACAGTTTAAAAACAATATTTCCAAATCTATCTATGTACATGTGTTTCTTCTACTGATTGATATCGTAAATGCATAAAATTTGTAATCTAAGTGCAACAGTATTCTTCAATACACATCTATCGTCTTTACCAACATGTGTTTCTCCTACTTATTGCTATCATAAATGCGTAAAATCCGCAGTCTAAATGCAACAATATTCATAAATGCATCAAACGTCTTCGACAAGATCTGTTTCTCCTACTTATTTCTGCGACAAATACAAAGAAAACCGCGTTCTATTAATTTGGCTATCCAGGAAGAATGACGAAACGATCTTGTACTGAACCGATCGACCAAGAAGCGTTACGCCGCGTGGCGGTAAACACCTAGGAGGATTTCCAGCAGGTGCCACAGTCTTTTACGGTCTGCAAATTGGTAAACATCAGATAGCGAAAAACATTTCCACGAAACGTTTGAACAGCCAATCGGCCGATCTATCCGAGGGGACAACGATCTCGGTAGGAACGACAGAGGTAGCCTAGTTTATCTATTGTCAAATAGTCTTATCGTTGCGTGGCATATGGCGCGTGTTCACCTGGTGACTGGACTGAACTCCCTTCGGCCCAAGTGTCCCAGTTACTTCCGACACGAGTGCGCCAGTGGCCGTTGTGGATTTACATAAACGCACAGCTGACAGAGACTCGTTCGACACCTCTCTCCTTCTACAGAACCCGACGTTACGTTTCCGTTTACGATGGATGAATAAGTAGAGCCACCATGTACACACCGGCGCTCGTTAATTCCATCGCTCCGACTCTAACTCCGACTCGACTCGGCTCGGCTCGTCGCGACGCCAGAAGTCTGCTGGTGCCATTTGCGATTGCATGCAACTTTCAGACCGTTTACTCAAGGAAAACGTGTAACCTGAACAGCGCGGGCGGAACGAGGATGACGAATCGTTGATCTATCGGCAGTAACCGTTCCGTTCCGCAGCAAGTTCGCAGGCCCAGCGATGATGCCGAGTTACGATTTTGATAAAACACCGACCAGAAGGTTGCTATAGAAAAGAGGATCGTATTAACCCCCGGCGAGCAGCTGTAGGCTGTAGCTGTTCGAACTCGATGCTTTACGAGGTATTTTCATGGCTGCGGGGTGAAGTATCCTTGCGCTTATACCCGACGAAACAATGGGCACGCGTGTAAGCCAGACACGGGAAATGTTTATCGCGAAGTGTAAGGTGCTCGATACTCTCTCCAGCTCCAAGTTTTCATCAAATTTTAAGACCGCCTTCGTCGGCCTGGGAACTTCGCGATCACCAGGCTTTCAAGACTTTCTGGCCCCTTTAGAACTGCCAAGGCTTTCAGGATTTTGAAACATTGGGAAACGTTTGAGGTGTCTGCGAACTCAAAGAACTTCACAATAAAATAAATGATTCTTTATCAGGATGCACCCTTAACCCTCGGACGGCGGACTATTTTTAAAACTGTACTATTCACGGTGCTTGTAACAATTCTGAGCTTCATTCAGCAATCTTTCAAAGTACTACATTTATATATATATTTTTGAAAATACTTCTTGCAGAGTAGTGTTTCTGTTGCTCCGAATGTAACAGTAATTTATTTGATTTCATTGGTGAAAATTGAGTGATTAGTGATCTTAATTCTCTGGATCAAAATAACCGGCAATCGCAGTGCGAGTGTCGTCATTGATGAGAAGTTTCCATGATTTCGGAGAGCAACAACCAAGGTTTTCAGAAGCTATAGATCTAGGTTTCCTAAACTGGCAAACGTCTGAAGCATCTAGGACCTCAAAGAACTTTGCAATGAAATAAATGATTACTTATAAAGACGATCTGTTAATCTTGTTGCAGATATTAATAAACAGAGATTGAAGGCCTCACAGAAACCTTTAACATGTGCAAGACATTAAAACATACTAACAGCCAGGATTTTCAGAAGCTACGGACCTTCGTTCTCCAAACTGAGAAACGTCTCCAAGAGCTTTGCAATGAAATAAGTTGATTATTTATAAAGACACTCTCTGTTAATCCCGTTACAGGCATCGGTGAGAAGAGGTTGAAAGTCTCATAAAGCCCCAATAGTTTGAAAATATTCGATCATAGCGATTCTATTTAAAGAGGCATCGAAGAGCAGCTGCAGCCAGACCTAGCGCAACCGTAGTGTGGAGGCTATCCGAGTATGCTGATCGAAACTCCTCGGAGCCGCAACATTGTCTGAAGCAGCCAGGATCCCAGGATCGGGGTCCTTTCAAAGCCATGTCCTCTCGTGACTGAAGCTTTTTTTAGAACCGTCAGGGTCGCGTCGAGTTTCGAGGATCCTCGTCGAGCCCGAAAATTCGCTACGATCGGGGTCCCGCCTCGTATTGCTACTCGTCGCCGATTTTTTTCTTTTATGTCGGGGCCATGGCCCAGCGGAGAACCAGAGAGAGGCCAGCCCAAAGCAACGGGGCCTGGATATTCCGGTTCACTTAATCGTTTCTTCGGACTTGAGATCGTGGCTCCGCTCTTTCTTTCTCTCTCTCTCTCTCTCTCTCTCTCTCTCTCTTTCTCCCTCTCTCTGTCTCCTTCTCTCCCGGTTTCTCTCCTCTTGCGGCCGTTCCGACTGAAAAAATGAAGAAAAAGATCGGAACCCACGAGCTGTCCGTGTACACAAAGGAACGAGAGAACGTTCTCTAGGCCCCGTAGAATGCAACTACTCAAAATTGTCGGCCAGATGTTGCCGAATTTCGTTCGTGGAAGAGGCCGGTACATCGCGTTGATGATTCGCGGCTGATTACTAGGCGGCTCACGCGAGAGAACTCGTCGGCGAATCTTCGTGGACGGAATCAAAACAACCGACGCTTTCATCGAACGATCTTTAAATACCCCCGGAGACCTATCAGCTCACGGCCAGCGACAAATTTGAACCTCGGATTAACCGTAAAACCCTCTGCTTTGTTGTGTCATGTCGACGCGAAATAAACGACTGTCACTCGCAGATAAAACGAGTCCTGAATAACTGCCGTTTACAAATTCGCTGATGATTCGATGATCACGGAGACCGCGATGCGCATTTGCATTTAGATTAATCAAGTTTTTTCCGTGGAAGTTCAACCTATAATAACCCGCTCTCAACTCAGAAGAAAGAAGTTGATTCTTGCAAAGAATCTCCGCCGTTCGTGGCCTATCGAACAGTTTTAAACCGTCGCTTATTCAGAATATTTAATAAATACTACGATTCGTTGAAGTCTGACGGACCACCCTGTATGCAGAAGAGTATAGGAGAGGATCCTGTTTTCCTGAAGAAGCCGATCCGGTGAAAGGACACTGCAGATTCAAGTTTTCTGGCTGCTGCTGCTGCTGCTCTGTCCCCGACATGAATTCTTTAGAGAAACTTTGTAAAATGTCTGCGGACGTCGACAAACAACATGGAAAACAATCCTGTGTTTGCAAGGAAGAACGCCGCATGTCACGCGTTTCCGCTTCCGAGATGCTGTAGCTTGAAGTTTCGAACACGCTAATGCTTCGTATTAGTAGTGTTTCAAATCGCATAGTTATTTTTGAGCCTGTCGAATTAGTTCCCACGATCTTCTTTTTTTTCGTTAAATGCCGCGCCTGTCACACATGGGCGACACCAATTTTTAACTAAGTTCGGAAATTCATTTTTATGGTAATACGTTCGAACAAACTGAATGCTACTAGGATTTTTGGAATGCAAAAGAGTTATACTAATAGTTTTAATATGGTAAATTTTAACTTTCTGGTTTCGGTTTCACTAATTAAATGACTTTGATATTGTGGGAATTTTTTTGGTGTTGATATTCAGCACTTGACGTGTCAAATACATAAATCCTATATGCTACCAGTTCAATCGATCCGTTAAGTCGACTCTTTTGAAATCGTGACATGCGGCGTTTTCCCTTGCAGCCGCAGAAATATCCGTCTGGCTGTTCGTGTGTTCGGGTAAACGAAAGAAGTACTCGAAAACCGTAGATTGAAAAACACTAAACGCGAACGTTGAATTTCTGCAACGCAAACCGTTTGCTCAA